AGCCTTTGATACTGTTAATCACAACTACCTCTTACTTAAACTCCAGCATTATGGAATCCGAGGCCTTGCCCTGGACTATATCCGATCCTATCTTAGTAACAGACACCAATGTGTAGCCATCAATGATACAACCTCTTCCACTCTACCAATAACTGTTGGAGTGCCACAGGGCAGCATCTTGCGTCCTCTTATATTTCTTATATATATCAATTATCTGCCTAATGTCTCTAATATTTTTAAACCTATATTGTTTGCTGATCCTCATCTATTCAGACCCCCAACTCACATACACTAAATAATGTTGTGAATAATGAATTAAAAAAAGTCCACTTATTGATGTCTACTAACTAACACTAAACATAGAAAAGACCTACTACATCTTATTTGGAAGCAAATCACCGAATGCAATTCAGCTACAGATAGACAACATTAACATCAGTAATAAAAATTATGGAAAGTTTCTTGGCCTATTCCTAGACAAGAGACTCAACTTCAGCACCCACATACAACACATAACTAAGAAAGTCTCTAAAACAGTTGGCATACGCTCCAAAATCAGATACTATGTTCCTAACTCTGCTCTCATCTCACTATATTATGCACTAATCTATCCCTATCTTAATTATGGTATCTGTGCATGGGGTTCAACCACAGCAAACCACCTCAAGCCCATCATCACCCAGCAAAAATCTGCTATCAGAATAATAACAAACTCTGCTTTCAGACAACACTCAGCTCCCTTCTTTAAATCCCTTAATTGAGTTAATTTTAATTTTAATTAATAAACACTTTCACGCCCTCCACGAAATGGACTGGACGGACTTCGACTTACTCGAGGTGATTTCGACGTTTTCGGGTGACCGAGTGGCAACACTGAAAAGTGTATACTCTTTTCGCTGTCCTGACCTTAATTTTCGATGTACAGATTTCATTTTTGTACCAATGTGTTCGCAATAGAATGATCTATAAGAACATATGCATGTCACCAAAGCATGAGTTAAAGCCCACAAAAAGCTAAAGAACTACATCGGGGTTGTTTGTGGACCTGCGTAAAGCTTTTGACACTGTCAACCACCAAAACCTTCTTCTTAAATTACATCATTATGGAGTCAGAGGACACTCCCTACAATACCTCAAATCCTACCTTACTGACAGGCTCCAATATGTTTCTGTGAATAATACAATTTCTCCCACCCTACCCATCAACATTGGTGTTCCCCAGGGCAGCATACTTGGCCCTCTCCTCTTTCTCATCTACATTAATGACCTTCCAAATGCCTCCCAACACCTCAAACCAATTCTATTTGCTGACGACACAACCTTCATTTACTCCAGTCCTGATCCCCTTGCTCTAAATGCTACAGTAAATACTGAGCTAAATAAAGTCCATCTGTGGCTAACTGCCAACAAACTCACCCTTAACATTGACAAAACCTTTTATATTCTGTTTGGCAATAAATCCTCTAATCAAATAAATCTCAAAATAAACAATACCCAAATTTGTAACAAATTAGATGGCAAATTCCTTGGCATTCTCATTGACCACAAGCTTAATTTCCAGGGACACATTCTAAACATATCAAAAAAAGTTTCAAAAACTGTGGGCATTCTTTCTAAGATCAGATATTATGTACCACGCCCTGCCCTGGTGACTCTCTATTACTCCCTTATCTATCCATATCTCAACTATGGTATTTGTGCTTGGGGCTCTACTACCCAAAATCACTTACGTCCTCTAATTACTCAACACAAAGCTGCTATTAGGACAATATCCAATTCTGGCCCCAGACATCACTCGGTACCCCTACTTAAATCTCTGAATATGTTAGACTTTAAGTCACTGCACATTCTCTCATGTGTATTATACATATATAAAACGCTAAACTATAATGCCAATCCTGATCTCAAAAGCTTCATAGAAGGTTGTATCAGAACCCATGAGCATCACACCAGAAATAAATACAGTTTTGATATTCCTAGAGTACGACTTAATCAAACTAGAAATGCTCTACAAATCAAGGGGCCCAGAAATCACTAGCCGTGAGCTCCAAACAGCTACGAAATGTTTCTATTCTTTTCAGGGTTGTCAACTCCACACTTGTCCTACAGCGTTAAATTTGGTATCAATGCGATTGCAATTAAATTCCCTACATGGACATATGCATATAAATATAGAATCATGATCGCAGCCCACACCAAGAGTGTGTGAAGTGGGCGATAACACGCGCCATGTCAACAATACAATAGTCTTTCCACTAAGTTACAATACAATGCCGTTCTCCCAAATAGGCCATGTGCCTATTAGAGAAAATGGAAATTTAATGGCAGACATTTTCATATGATCCCCAAGTCGATCGAATAAGAATTGGATTTTATACAAATATCTTTTAATCGCGCCGTAAATTTACGATGCTCCCGCAACTCGTGATACACTTGCGTGTATTTACGCGTCGTTTATTTACGACAACGGGGCGCTAAAGTGTAAAATATTAACATGCTAAACATTAACTCCTTCCACACATTCTCTTGTGTCAAGTACATTTACAAAACCTTGTTCTTAAATGCAAACCATGCTCTGAAGCTCTCCCTGGACAGATGTAATAGGACCCATTATCACCACACCAGAAATAAATATCTCTTTGATATCCCCAGAGTCAAACTTAATCTGTGTAAACACTCTATGCAAATTAAGGGACCTAGTCTATGGAACACACTCCCTACTGAATTGAAAAGCTGTCAAACTTTTGCCTCATTTAAAAACAAAACAAAACGTACCTAATTTCATCATCATAGTTTCCTACTCTGAGCTTTAAATTTGCTCTGTATCTAGTGTTACCCAATCACCCAATCTTTATGTATTTAATCCAAAAAACTTTATCATTGTGTTCATTGCTGTCTTCTTTTAAGTGCTAGCTATATGCTGTATTGTGCCTGCTAAGTTTTGTTAAACTACCATCCAAGCTGTTAAAGCAATCAACCTGAGCTACCTATGTGCTTTAATATACCTACAGATTTCTCTCATCTTCCATTTTTTTTACCTTGCTATATACGTGTTATCATTTTTATAAATTTTGCTAGTTATTTACCTACTAAATTTTTTTTTAGATTAAGGACCTGCCCAAACGCTGCGTGTACTAGTGGCTTTACAAGAATGTAATTACTATGCTATGTATCTTCACAATCCCAGTGTACCTTCTTGTATATATATATATATATATATATATATATATATATATATATATATATCACACCCCAGAATATATACTCCCAGGAGCCACGCAACTGGTATGTACAAGACGCCTTAATCCACTTGACCATCACGACCGGACATAATGAGGTGATAGCCGAGGCTATTTGAACCACCCCACCGCCGGCACTCGGATAGTAATCTTGGGCATAGCATTTTACCAAATCACCTCATTCTTTGGGGCACACGTGAGGAACACAAATGCGAACAAGCCTGAATGGTCCCCAGGACAATATGCAACTGAAAACTCACACCCCAGAAGTGACTCGAACCCATACTCCCAGGAGCCACGCAACTGGTATGTACAAGACGCCTTAATCCACTTGACCATCACGACCGGACATAATGAGGTGATAGCCGAGGCTATTTGAACCACCCCACCGCCGGCACTCGGATAGTAATCTTGGGCATAGCATTTTACCAAATCACCTCATTCTTTGGGGCACACGTGAGGAACACAAATGCGAACAAGCCTGAATGGTCCCCAGGACAATATGCAACTGAAAACTCACACCCCAGAAGTGACTCGAACCCATACTCCCAGGAGCCACGCAACTGGTATGTACAAGACGCCTTAATCCACTTGACCATCACGACCGGACATAATGAGGTGATAGCCGAGGCTATTTGAACCACCCCACCGCCGGCACTCGGATAGTAATCTTGGGCATAGCATTTTACCAAATCACCTCATTCTTTGGGGCACACGTGAGGAACACAAATGCGAACAAGCCTGAATGGTCCCCAGGACAATATGCAACTGAAAACTCACACCCCAGAAGTGACTCGAACCCATACTCCCAGGAGCCACGCAACTGGTATTATATATATATATATATATATATATTAATAAATATATAAATAAATATGGGCCTAGTTTGTACGGACAAGATGGTGGGTCAGTAGACCAGGGAGGAGTGGGTCTGGTCTGTGTGGACACAGTGTATTCCAGGGACCGTAGGATTAAGGACTTGCCCGAAACGCTACGCGTACTAGTGGCTGTACAAGAATGTAACAACTCTTGTATATATCTCAAAAAACAAAAAAAAAAAAAAAAAAAAAAGTGGTGGGTCAGTAGAGCAGGGAGAAGTGGGTCTGGTCTGTGTGGACACAGTGGTGGGTCAGTAGACCAGGGAGGAGTGGGCCTGGTCTGTGTGGACACAGTGGTGGGTCAGTAGACCAGGGAGGAGTGGGCCTGGTCTGTGTGGACACAGTGGTGGGTCAGTAGACCAGGGAGGAGTGGGCCTGGTCTGTGTGGACACAGTGGTGGGTCAGTAGACCAGGGAGGAGTGGGCCTGGTCTGTGTGGACACAGTGGTGGGTCAGTAGACCAGGGAGGAGTGGGCCTGGTCTGTGTGGACACAGTGGTGGGTCAGTAGACCAGGGAGGAGTGGGCCTGGTCTGTGTGGACACAGTGGTGGGTCAGTAGACCAGGGAGGAGTGGGCCTGGTCTGTGTGGACACAATGGTGGGTCAGTAGACCAGGGAGGAGTGGGCCTGGTCTGTGTGGACACAGTGGTGGGTCAGTAGACCAGCGAGGAGTGGGCCTGGTCCGTGTGGACACAATGGTGGGTCAGTAGACCAGGGAGGAGTGGGTCTGGTCCGTGTGGACACAATGGTGGGTCAGTAGACCAGCGAGGAGTGGGCCTGGTCCGTGTGGAGACAGTGGTGGGTCAGTAGACCAGGGAGGAGTGGGCCTGGTCCGTGTGGATACAATGGTGGGTCAGTAGAGCAGGGAGTGCCCCTCACACCCACCTGAGGCATAAGCTACCAGCTTGAGAGCATCACTAGCAGCTGGGTCAGGATGACCTTCCTTGAGGTGCTTGAGAGTCTTGGCCCGAGCTGACAACATGGCCACCAGCGTCGCTTCACTTGCTGTCGACTGCAAATATACACAATACATTGTACATATAATTCGTATTATATGCGATCCTTTTATACAAAATATCATTCATTTAACATATTTTATATACACGATGCTTTTCACCAGGTCAAGTTTAATATACGGAATAGCATCAATGAGATAATCAGTAGGAGCCTAGGGAGTACAAAGTGTGCGGGTTCGAATCCCACTCATGGCTGCAGCACCGTTGTTCTTACCTGTATGACGCCACCACCGTTGTTCTCACCTGTATGACGCCACCGCCCTTGCCCCCTGAGGAGGCAAGGAAGTGTGGAGGGAGGCCGATAAGCTGGCCGAGCCAGTCCATCATAACCACCTCCAGCTCCGTGCAGGCCGGTGATGATATCTGCAGGACAGTAATGCGTGTGTGTGAATACTCTCCTTCTCTCTACACTCTGGAGAGGAGGAGGGAGAGGGGGGGGAGAGAGCGGAGGAGGAATGGGTAGGTGAAGAGAGTATAAGCGGAAGAAATGATTGAAGAGAGAGAGAGAGAGAGGGAGACAGTGAAAGGAAGGAAGGGGTGGTTGAAAGTAGGAAGGGAAGATCCCTCCAGAAACTGAAAGGTGTAGTTATCCCTCCAGAAGATGAAATTAAGGTCTTAATATTTCAGAAGTTGATAGACCTATTAGCTGGTCTGTAATAAACAGGTCACAACGTGAACTGAACATGTCACAACGTGTACTGAACATGTCACAACATGTACTGAACATGTCACAACGTGTACTGAACATGTCACAACGTGAACTGAACAAGTCACAACGTGTACTGAACAGGTCACAACGTGAACTGAACAGGTGACAAGGTACAACAGAGGAGTACTCACCCAGGTGAAGCCGATGCATCCAATGGCGTCACTCAACATGTCGGCCAAGATGGCCGGGTAGCTGTTGCCTGTCGGGAAGTACGCGTGGAACTGAGGGGAGTGCCAGTGTGTTACCTGAGAGAGAGAGACATGTGAGGGGAGTGCCAGTGTGTTACCTGAGAGAGAGACACATCTGAGGGGAGTGCCAGTGTGTTACCTGAGAGAGAGACACATCTGAGGGGAGTGCCAGTGTGTTACCTGAGAGAGAGACACATCTGAGGGGAGTGCCAGTGTGTTACCTGAGAGAGAGACACATCTGAGGGGAGTGCCAGTGTGTTACCAGAGAGAGAGAGACATGTGAGGGGAGTGCCAGTGTGTTACCTGAGAGAGAGACACATCTGAGGGGAGTGCCAGTGTGTTACCTGAGAGAGAGACACATCTGAGGGGAGTGCCAGTGTGCTACCTGAGAGAGAGACACATCTGAGGGGAGTGTCAATGTGTTACCTGAGAGAGAGACACATCTGAGGGGAGTGCCAGTGTGTTACCTGAGAGAGAGACACATCTGAGAGGAGTGCCAGTGTGTTACCAGAGAGAGAGACACATCTGAGGGGAGTGCCAGTGTGTTACCTGAGAGAGAGACACATCTGAGGGGAGTGCCAGTGTGTTACCTGAGAGAGAGACACATCTGAGGGGAGTGCCAGTGTGTTACCTGAGAGAGAGACACATCTGAGGGGAGTGCCAGTGTGTTACCTGCGAGAAAGAGACACATCTGAGGGGAGTGCCAGTGTGTTACCTGAGAGAGACACACATCTGAGGGGAGTGCCAGTGTGTTACCTGAGAGAGACACACATCTGAGGGGAGTGCCAGTGTGTTACCTGAGAGAGACACACATCTGAGGGGAGTGCCAGTGTGTTACCTGCGAGAGAGAGACACATCTGAGGGGAGTGCCAGTGTGTTACCTGCGAGAGAGAGACACATCTGAGGGGAGTGCCAGTGTGTTACCTGCGAGAGAGAGACACATCTGAGGGGAGTGCCGGTGTGTTACCTGCGAGAGACACACATCTGAGGGGAGTGCCAGTGTGTTACCTGAGAGAGAGACACATCTGAGGGGAGTGCCAGTGTGTTACCTGCGAGAGAGAGACACATCTGAGGGGAGTGCCAGTGTGTTACCTGAGAGAGACACACATCTGAGGGGAGTGCCAGTGTGTTACCTGAGAGAGACACACATCTGAGGGGAGTGCCAGTGTGTTACCTGAGAGAGACACACATCTGAGGGGAGTGCCAGTGTGTTACCTGCGAGAGAGAGACACATCTGAGGGGAGTGCCAGTGTGTTACCTGCGAGAGAGAGACACATCTGAGGGGAGTGCCAGTGTGTTACCTGCGAGAGAGAGACACATCTGAGGGGAGTGCCGGTGTGTTACCTGCGAGAGACACACATCTGAGGGGAGTGCCAGTGTGTTACCTGCGAGAGACACACATCTGAGGGGAGTGCCAGTGTGTTACCTGAGAGAGAGACACCTCTGAGGGGAGTGCCAGTGTGTTACCTGAGAGAGACACATCTGAGGGGAGTGCCAGTGTGTTACCTGAGAGAGAGACACATCTGAGGGGAGTGCCAGTGTGTTACCTGAGAGAGAGACACATCTGAGGGGAGTGCCAGTGTGTTACCTGAGAGAGAGAGACATCTGAGGGGAGTGCCAGTGTGTTACCTGAGAGAGAGACACATCTGAGGGGAGTGCCAGTGTGTTACCTGAGAGAGACACACATCTGAGGGGAGTGCCAGTGTGTTACCTGAGAGAGACACACATCTGATTGTGAGGTACCTGGTGGGGAGACTGTGAGGTACCTGTGAGGGGAGACTGTGACTAGTCTAGTTAGCAAACTAACTAGTTAGTTAGGAGACTAGTTAGCAAACTAACCTGTGAGGTACCTGTGAAGGGAGACTGTGAGGTACCGTGGTCATCGTGCTACTGGTGACCAGGTACACCCATGACCAGGTACTGGTGACCAGGTACAGTCAGGTACACCCATGACCAGGTACTGGTGACCAGGGTCAGGTACACCATGATCAGGTACTGGTGACCAGGTACAGTCAGGTACACCCATGATCAGGTACTGGTGACCAGGTACAGTCAGGTACACCCATGACCAGGTACTGGTGACCAGGTACAGTCAGGTACACCCATGACCAGGTACTGGTGACCAGGTACAGTCAGGTACACCCATGATCAGGTACTGGTGACCAGGTACAGTCAGGTACACCCATGATCAGGTACTGGTGACCAGGTACAGTCAGGTACACCCATGACCAGGTACTGGTGACCAGGTACAGTCAGGTACACCCCCATGACCAGGTACTCAGGTACACCCATGTGACCAGGTACAGTCACTGGTACACTGGTGACCATGACCAGGTACTGGTGACCAGGACCAGGTACTGGTGACCAGGAACAGTCAGGTACACTAATGACCAGGTACTGGTGACCAGGTACAGTCAGGTACACTCATGACCAGGTACTGGTGACCAGGACCAGGTACTGTTGACCAGGTACAGTCAGGTACACTCATGACCAGGTACTGGTGACCAGGTACTGGTGACCAGGTACAGTCAGGTACACCCATGACCAGGTACTGGTGACCAGGACCAGGTACTGGTGACCATGACCAGGTCCTGGTGACCAGGACCAGGTACTGGTGACCAGGTACAGTCAGGTACACTCATGACCAGGTACTGGTGACCAGGACCAGGTACTGGTGACCAGGACCAGGTCCTGGTACACTAATGACCAGGTACTGGTGACCAGGTACAGTCAGGTACACTCATGACCAGGTACTGGTGACCAGGACCAGGTACTGGTGACCAGGTACAGTCAGGTACACCCATGACTAGGACCAGGTACGGGTGACCATGACCAGGTACTGGTGACCAGGACCAGGTACTGGTGACCATGACCAGGTACTGGTGACCAGGACCAGGTACTGGTGACCATGACCAGGTACTGGTGACCATGACCAGGTACTGGTGACCATGACCAGGTACTGGTGACCATGACCAGGTCCTGGTGACCATGACCAGGTCCTGGTGACCAGGACCAGGTACTGGAGACCAGGACCAGGTACTGGTGACCAGGACCAGGTACTGGTGACCAGGACCAGGTACTGGTGACCATGACCAGGTACTGGTGACCATGACCAGGTACTGGTGACCAGGACCAGGTACTGGAGACTAGGACCAGGTACTGGTGACCAGGACCAGGTACTGGTGACCAGGACCAGGTACTGGTGACCATGACCAGGTACTGGTGACCAGGACCAGGTACTGGTGACCATGACCAGGTACTGGTGACCATGACCAGGTACTGGTGACCATGACCAGGTACTGGTGACCATGACCAGGTACTGGTGACCATGACCAGGTACTGGTGACCATGACCAGGTACTGGTGACCATGACCAGGTACTGGTGACCATGACCAGGTACTGGTGACCAGGACCAGGTACTGGTGACCAGGTACAGTCAGGTACACCCAGGACCAGGTACTGGTGACCAGGTACAGTCAGGTACACCCAGGACCAGGTACTGGTGACCAGGACCAGGTACTGGTGACCAGGTACAGTCAGGTACACCCAGGACCAGGTACTGGTGACCAGGACCAGGTACAAAAGTAGTCCATTACCCTCCAGTTCCCTCGTAAAGTGGAGAATGGCAGCTCCGCGTTTACTGTTGCGGCAGTAGTGGGTTAGAGTATGAGTGACTACGCGCTTTGTAACGTCGAGTCTCATTGGTCAACCCCCCCCCCCCTCCCCCCCCTCCTACACACCGGTCTATATAATTCACACTGCTATCAAAAGGAAAATAATGTAAAGCAGTTAATAAAAATTAATATATATAGATTAGTGAAAATAGGGCGATGGCTCTACTTTTGTGCTTAAGAGTTTATTGACCTTTTATGTAAACAATATAATATGTGTGATAATCTAAGTGTTGGCATTAGGCTGTTGAGGCAGAGACGACGTGACGTCACACAAAACGCTACCTTGATTATCATTGGCCGCCAATCAACAACTAACTAGTTAGTTTAGTTCATTTATTATGCACCCCATACCCATCTTGTGGGCGGTAGTGGAAAGGGTTACAGAGGCACATAATGGGCTCAGGGACTGAACCCCACAATTCATTTAGCTAAACAAGTTACAATCTTGATGAGCTAGTTACAAAATTCAATACACATCGTCACATCAAAAAATGGGCTCGAAATCGACCACAAGTACAGTTTCTAAATTAAGCAACTGACATGTGGAGAGCTAGTGTCTCAACTGATATGTTTGTCCTGCACACCGCCCCTATCCAGTGGGCAGCGGTGGATAGATTATAATCACTTAGTTACTACCTACAGTTAGCAAACTGGGGATATTTGGCCACGACTTCTGGTAATAGATAATTTTTAATGAAATATTTATACATGTCTTGTACATTTGGTCTTGAATTGTCTGTGATTTCACGTGTCTTTTCGCACTCCATCACATAGGGACGGAGGGTGTGCGAATAATTTAGTTGACACAGTTGACATTTTGTCAGGTCTATATTAGCAGGTTAATGAAAATTTATTGGACGGCCTGGCGTCAGAGAGGGCAGGTGTGTGGGCATGTTGCTCCCCAGTTGGCCCTCAAGGCTTGGAGCTGACGGTCATGTGACAGTTCTGTTATCTGTTTGGGGTCCTTCTGGTGTTGGGTGTGATTGTTCGAGGATGAGGTCCACCTTACCTCTGATGAAGTAGACTGCCTCGGCTGGCCTCGAGTCTTCCTCTTCGGTGGACCATACTTTGGTTGGTGTGGCATTAGTGGAGGTGCTCCATCACAAATTGGCGGATGTGATGGGCATCCAGCTCATTCATGACCAACGTGTGGTGGTCAAATTTCTGCAGCAAGGTGTGTTTCAGGAGTTCGTCAACAGATGTGAAGGGACACTCATTCCCTATGCTTAAAGGAACAGGCACAGTATGGGTAGTCAACCTAAGTGTGAAAACAGTATACGTGGCGGTGCGTGGAGCCCAGTTCCAAATGATGGATGGGCTGTTGGCCCCTCTGTTTTGGCAGTTTGAGAAGGTTCTTGTGCTCAGCATCCGTTGGAACTAGGT